CTTGGGGACTGCCTGCTCCCGCGGACGAGCGATGCACGCAGGTTTTCGGTGGCTCGGGCAGCCTTTTTCGGGCGGGGGGGGGGGGGAGGGAGAAAGAAATAATTTTAAGGGACAAATGAAATCTAACTTTTCTGTAAAATTCACAGGTTCATAGTATAACCCTTCTCAGCTCAATTAGTTATACAAAACCACAGATGCCAGCACACATTTCCTGTACCAGCTCCTGTCCTAGAGCAGATCCCAAGAAATTGAGACTGATGGTTATTTTGCTTCCTATATCATATCGCAGTGAACAGTAAATTGTCATGACAACTGAAGCCAGATATGTCACATAGCTTAATGCTAGCAATCTAAATTACCCTAACTTCATGGGTATTCCTTATGCCTTTATAGGCTGAATCTGGCGTAAAGGAGCCTAAAAATGTGAATTAAGAATGAAACCCAGCTAAGTGGGAAGTAAGGAAAATATAGTCATTATAGAAGATATTTAGCATACAAAGGATGCACTCATTTAATGTGTTCCCCTCTGTTGCTTGTCTCTGTTTAATCAAACTTAGATAATTATTAGTGTTTTTTAAAACAGATAAAGCAACAAAGGCACAGAGCCAGTTCTTGCTCAGATATGACAGGCGTTTCAGTAACTCAGTCTGACTATAAACTGGAGAACAAATTATATCATTCACACACATCCTTCATCACAGCTTGATACTTTCAGGAAAACAGCATTGACTTGACCATTACTTTTTAGTCAAAACTAATATATCACTTACAGAATTTTTAGTGATTTGATGAGATTTTGGATTTTGAATGATTAGCAAACGTGCCTTCAGCTAATACTCACTAAACATGATGTAAGAAAAATCTCTGAGGTATAGCAGAGTAGCAAAGTAAGAAAGATTTCTCCCTCTAGTTTATTTATAGTAAAATTGTACTATAAATACAACTAAATACCCATTTTATGAGAAATATTCCAACTTAACTGAACAGAACAATAAATAAAGGAAACATAGATGTAGATGGAAAAATATCCTTGGGTGAATGGTTTCTGAAGTTAACGGTATATATTTTTCATTTGGCATTGAATACCTGTACTAATTCCCATGCTATATTTTTTGTTTGTAGATCCTAGTAAACGTGGGCAATTTTTTCACGTTGGAGTCTGTCTTTGTAGCACCAAGAAAAGGAATTTACAGTTTCAGTTTTCACGTAATTAAAGTCTATCAGAGTCAAACAATCCAGGTATGTTGATCAAGTAGGAATCAAAAATATTTTCCTTAAGAAATTGTTTATTTAGAAGAATAGAATCTTGACTGAACACAATACTGTTTAACACACTTCAAAGCAAAAAATAGCTCAGCTTAAAACAACCTGTGACTTAATTGTATACAGTCCTTATCAGCAAAGTGAATATATTTAAACTGAACAGAGACAGAGAAGCAGGATCCTCACCTCAGACAAACTGCCACAGCTTCACTTCTCTACCATAAGAGCTGAACATGTCAGATAATGTAAAGTATTATATAGAATGAATCATCAAAGAGTAAAATAAACCTCTAAATTTCACTTAATTGCATAAATATCTTTGAAGAATCATATCTTCTTACAGTGTAAACTCACTGTCTTGAACCTAAGAGTTTTGGGGGCACATATCATATTTGCTTATTTTAGTAATGTTTTGTGACTTTGCTATTAAATCATGATGCCAGGTATCTGTTTATGAAATCACTTTGCTATGGACCAAGGTTAGTTAAGGTAGCCTGTTTGCTCTGCACTTGCACAGAGATGTTATACCTCTTTAGGGATGTCTTATGGAGAACTCCTGTAGCAGTTTAAACTTGTTGCACCATATAATAAAGATATGTCATATAATATCTAAAAATATGCAATCCTACACTTTTTTCTGCAGTTTAATAGCAGCAGAACTTAATTAAATATAAGCCGGTACCAGCTTATATTTAGATGAAAAGCTTATATAGATGAAAAACCTCTAAGTTCCTGAACAGTGAGCACTAAGTTCCTTAAAGCAAATTCCGTAATATTTACCTCACATCAGACTATTCGGTACATCTTTTATGACATACTGACATACTGGCTTTCTAGATCTGAATTAATCCTTCCCTTGTTCCCACTTGTGAGACCGCTGGATCTGTCTTGCTCCTGAATGTACTCTTCAGTGTGCAAGACTGAGATGAAGCTGATTTCTGCAGGAGAAGTGATCAGTCATTTCTTAGTGGCACCTCTGGCTTTGGGTTGCCAGTAAAGCTCCTGAGAAAAGTACGAATGGTGCAGAAAGTTGGTGCGAGACATATTCATATCCCTGGTGAAATTTGCCTTCAGCTTACAGCAAGAAATCTTGGTTCCATTCAGGTCAACAAGAAAAATCTCAGATGAAATATTGACCTTAATATGCTCAGACTTCATTCCTTTCACTCTCTTACATGATGGGGGTTGAAATGGCCTAGAATAATTTTATGTCAGTCATCTTCATTGTATTTAAAATATGTATTGCCAAGAAAGACGTCAAGGCTCTGGAAGCCCAATATAAATTCTGGCTGCTCATGCACCAGCACTCAAACATGGGACCTTGGGCTTGTAACAGGGAATGTGACAACATGCAACAAGACCTGGAGTATTGCATAGTCCAGAGTTTCAAAAGTGGTGAAGGAGTTTGATTAACTGTGTTTTGGCATGGTTAACTTGAGACCACCCAGGGCAAACCTGTGACACGTCTGCTACTGTACGGAAACAGCAGGTAGATGATCTGCAAGGAAACTTTACCTAGAGAGATGGTACAGAAAGAATGAGATAAACCAAAAATGAGCAACGAGTATACTCTTGATACCCTTTTTTGCATGTTTCAAAGCTAAGGGAGAGGACCGAAAGCCCTTGCAAGGGAGCAAGCAGAGCAAACCAACTTGAGTATCAGCCACATGCAGACTTAAACATCACTAAATCACCTGTAGGCTTCCCACATAAGTGATATTACTCTGCCCCTGAAACATCTGTTAGTTCCATTAAGTATCATTAAATTGAAATTGGTTCCCTGGGGACAGCTGATTAAGTGGATTTCCCAGATAAGCAAATCCCAAATAAGGGCCAGATTCTGCTGCCCTGATGTATGCTGAACAGTAATTTATTCTACTGCAACTCCCATTAAAATTAATGGGAGCATATGCAAGGCCAGAATACTCAATATGAATAAGCATTTCATAATTCACCCCTCTGTGACTGCATTATAGCTGCTTAAAAAAGGAAAAGAAAAGAAGAAGCTAACAGTTTGCCTTTGAGAAAATGAAAACACCTGGTTCTGTCCATTCCCCCAGTTCCTGCCCACCTTTATTTATACCGTGTCTCTTTGTGTAGTGTTGCTTTCAGAGCAGAAGCTGTGCTGCCTTTCAGAAGTATATTATAGAACAATGGATTAGGTATCAAAACACAATGTAGTGATTCATAAAGATGAAGGTCTGTGCTAGACTAAAACTGAGTCAATAATGGAAGGGACGCATGTTTTGCTCTCAATGAAATGCAAGCTCCCAGCATACTTAGGGAACTTTGAAATGTCTCTGGGTATCTAAGTCTCTTAAAAATGTCTTCTTTGCTAATATGTACCTAAATAATCTGTGAAGCAGGCAAAATGAAGCAAAAGACATATAGCTCCTAGCTCTGTATTACCAGAGTGTCAGCATGGACAGGGCTATCTTATCAGCAATTAAAGTACCCATACAGCTGTGAAAGGAAATGTCATATTACTTTTCATACCATCTGAGCCCAAACCGCTGCAGTCAACGGACAGTACCCCACTGAATTCATAAAGCTGCAGCTCAAGCCCATGAAACGGTAATATGGTTGTCCACCCCTAGTAAAAGTAATTATTAGTTAAAAAAAAATAAAAGTGATAAATAATAGGACCTTAAATGGCACTCTTACATTGTGGATGATGTTCAGTGATGCCAGCTGATGTTTTTTAGTTAATTAGAGATTTTCAGTGGTTTTTCTCTTGTAGGTTAATTTGATGCTAAATGGAAAGCCAGTCATTTCTGCTTTTGCTGGAGACAAGGATGTCACGCGTGAAGCTGCCACTAATGGAGTCCTGCTCTATCTAGACAAGGAGGATAAGGTTTACCTGAAACTGGAGAAAGGTAATCTGGTTGGTGGATGGCAATATTCTACATTTTCTGGCTTTCTGGTCTTTCCCCTGTAAAGTCAATTTTCCTGTGACATCCATCCAGGTGTGGACTGATCATTGCCTCTGTTATATGAAGATCATTTTTATCATCATGGGATTGATGTTTCGTTATTGGTTTTTCATGGGTGAATATGGATTCTCTTTATGGATTTTGGCCCCATCTGAACTACTCAGAAGTTTCACAGAATTTTGTGTGTTTAAATACAACATACCTGGATTAAGACTAAAGCAGACAATAAGTATCTATGCTTAATGTTACAGTCTAAAGCTGCCTGCGAGATTTATTCAGATTTCATTACTGAACTTATTGGATTCATGGGAGAGGTGGATTTTCTTTAATTATGAAAAGACTGGCAACCAGGTCTATAATTTAGGAGAGTTTGGGTTCAGACTTCAATCAAGAGTTAGTGTGTTGCTGCCAAAGAACTGTATGTTGATATATTGGTTTTACATGTTTTTGTTCATTGGGACTCAACTGACATGATTTATTCCATTGTCTTGAGAAAGGTAATTATTATTGATAAGTGATTGACTTTAATTCTCCTCTGCGTGTAGTGTGTTGAATGGTTCACCCATATATTTACGCTCTGTCATTGGTCATAATGAAGTCTAGCATACATAAAGCTAAGAGGTCATGGTTGTATTTTAATTGGATATATAAGGTATTGCTATTTTCCACATGGTGTTTTCTAACAAGAGCAGATTATAACCATTAAAAAAGCCCCACTCTTACCAGGGTTAAAGGTGATCATTCAGGCACAACATTGCAAAACAGCTTTGTCCTGCAGGAAATCTCAAACTTGTTCTTCAGCTTTAATTAACGTGATCGATAATAACCGCTCTATTAAAAACCTAAGGGATTCCTTCCTTAGACACAACCACTTTATTAGCTGGAGATGAGACCCCCTGGTTTGTAATTATGTCTATTTTTCAAACCTTCTGTTATGTTAAAGTTATCATCTTGTTTTGCCTTAATTCCACAAATGTATATAATTTTAGATCATACGTTTAACAAATATTAAATCAAAATAGCCGGTACTTAGCTTGGTGCAATATCTTTTTGGCTTTTTGTACAGGTCATATGAACTCATAAATTTATTTATTATGTCACTGTTACATAATAAAGATTAATATATGTTAGCTGAATTTTTGACCTTTTGGAATTTGGAAGCCACTTCATGCTATTTTTCTATTGGATGTAATTATTATATGCAAAGTATAAGCTTTTGGGATTCACAGAAACTGTCCTGGGAGGCAGGCAGACTGTCATAGTTTGGTCTGGCAGAATCCTAGAGGTAATCTGCATGATCTAGAAATAACCTATGCATTTTATCTGGAAACATTTAAACAGATATCCTGGCTACAGTGGAGTCAGTGCTAAGAATCACATTGATTCCTGAGGATTTTGGATGAGACCTATGCTTTAAGTTTTGCCATCAGCATTAAACTCCAGTGCAATCAAATTGAATATCAGTTGAAAATGATTTTCGCAGGCAGTGCTAATGAAACCTGCATTCTTCATGCCTGGAATATACACTGACTTTGATGGAAATTTGTGCTTTGCCTATCATGAAGCATGCAGTTCTAATTAGAAAATATTATATAGTTGAGAGACATTTTGGATGGAAGAATTTCTAGCAATCTAGAACCTTCTCTAAAACCCATTAAAATAAAGAAAATATCTTCTTGATTAGCTTTAGGCTTGGATTTGCTCTTTTCGGTAATCTCTTGCCAACTCTTCTGTGTGTTAGCCAAGTGCAATGTCTTATATCGCTCTTCTTCTGTAAGCGTGCATCTCACTGATATAAAGCCTAAGGCACGGCTCGCTGATAGTCCCAGTAAAACTGTCATGGAATCAAGGGCACGGAATTGTGCCCAAATGCCTTATTTTTTCAAAACTGGAGCCAACGTGTAGGTATCAGAAGGGTAGGTGGGTATGTTTGCGTTCTTGTAGAAGCCAGGTGAGCAGAAGGTCATCTGCCAGATGCAGTGTCGTTTCTGTATAGAGAACACTGAGGTGCGTGGAGTACTGGGAAGGCATGGCCAGAAGGCAAATGATTTGCATCCTGGAAAAATATAAACAAATTTCCCATTACGGTTAATCAAAATATAACACCAGTATACCTAAAGAATGTATATATGCACATAATAAAAACAAAACAAAACAAAACTGGGATCACAGTGGGTGCTATACATGATATTTTTTAAAAAGTGGTGATTTGTCATAGGAGCTGATTTCAGAGAGGAACATCAATATTTCCTAGAAAATCGGTAAAATCTGAAAGCTCACCTTACTCTTTAATATATACATAATGTGAAAGAAATATTATTTCTAAACAAAAGGAAGAAAAATGGCATTAAAATGCCAGTATGCTTTTGAGAATGACCAAATGTATCTGACTTCTTTAGTTTGTAAACATATAATCTCCCAAAGCTACTGTTAGCATTCAGCAGTGATACTGAAATATCTCAATATGCTGTTGATTTTCCCTTGGCAAAATGTTTCTGATTGCTTCAGAGTCTTTAACAGTTATTTAAACTTTAACTAGAGAGTCTAGGAAGTTATTCAGTTAAGGAACTACCTCTAAATTAAGAATTATGAATTATCGTGCTAATGAAAGGAACAAAAATTTACAGATAAGTCACTGCAAAACAGTTTGTGATTGGTCTTTAGCTGGTGTTAGGGACTGACTTAACTCAGAGGTGGCATCCGGAGATGAGCAAGCACGCACCAGCTCCCTTAGGTCATATTTAAACATTTTAATAAGAAAGATCTACGGTCTTCAGATTAAAACTTGGGCTAACTTCCAGATCTTGAGCTCCTTTTCATGGTATTGTCCCATATGTCAATTATTTCGGTAGGAATTTCTCCCAAAACAGGCAGTCGGAACAGAGTCTGGCCTAGCTGGAGCGGTGTTTGCAATCAACAACTTTTCTTCTCTCTTTTCTCATTCCTTTCCTCTTTGTCCTCCCATGTTAATGCTATAGGAACTTTCTTCTGCAGCAGAAGCAGCAGATCAAGAGACACTTAAAATGTCAATGAATATTTATGATATATATATATATATTGAATTTGATGATAGCCATACTGATTTCGATGAGGGTAAAATTTTGCACTCCATGTGTATCCATGCTGCAGCATGTGGAGAGGATGTAGACTCATATCCCTCAACGTATATTGTCTTTGCAGTCAAGTGCTTAGACAGAAGGGTAAGCAATCACGAAAGCTTTCTGGCTTTCCGTAAAGAAGAAAAATGGTTACTTTCTGAGAATAATGCAACTTACTAATTTGTGTGTGTGTAAATATATATATATATATATAAATGAATCAGCATTTTTACCTCTATGTGAGCTATATTTTTATTTATAGTTTATCCATATGTTACTATACAATTGAGGAAAAAAGAACCATATTGTCCTGCTCAGACAATTGAAGTCTCTTTGGTAGAGCCAGGAATATGCAGGTCTCCTAAATGCACCCTGTATACTAAGCTGTTCTCTCTTTATTTACTAGGAAGAGTTTAGGATATGTCAAATGATTCTGGAGCCAAAAGTGGTATCTTTCAAAAGGACCTTGGTAGCTTAAGCATCTTTGGAAAAGTCACTGAGATACCTTTGAAAATTTCACCAGCAGTTTTCTCTTTATAAAAAAAAAAAAAAAAGGAAAAACTAACTTTGAAGTATAGATAAGGAAAACACAAAGTTTCTCAGATTGGTTTATCTTATACAACATTTGATATTTGTGAGCGTTATGTCATTTTGCAGTATCATTAAACCATTTCCTGAGTGTTAATTAAATTAGGTTCCCTAGGTCATGGCAGAGCGAATACTGTGAC